CCTCAAATTTCCCATTACCAACTTTCTTCCCCTAGGAATCTAGTAAAGTCAATGGCCATAATACATTATACCTTAAACATGTCCTATATTGTAAATAACAATAATGGCTATTAGAAATATTTAAAAAATTGCTATAAATAAATAAAATCTAATTAAAGAGTTGGAAAAATTTGGGTGACCCCATTTTCTTTAGCAATATTACTATTTTTGCTTATGGTTTTTTATTAAAATTTCAGATCAATGAGCTAATAAAAGGATGTTAAAAGGTATATGTTCAGTTAGAGGTCAAATTAAAAAAACAAGCATTTGAAAACTGATCCAAATAATGGTACAATGATCAGGAGTTGTCAGGTAAAAGTTCTTACAGCCTATTTAGAAAACACTTTTGACCTGGAAAATGAATTAGGTTCTGATCAAATAATAAATACTATATTAACAAATAAGGACAAAACATAAGAAAGTTAAGCTTGGAAATTAAACATTATTAAGTGAAGAATTAAAAAAGCTGAAATAAGGAAAAAACTGAAATAAGCAATAATCATAGAAGAATTTTACTACCTTCAGGTCGATACTGCGCAACAATTGTGACTGCTTGGCCAGCATTTTTCAATGCGGCTGCTGCCTGCTCATGACTGGCAGCTCTGAGGTCAACACTGTTCACCTGTAAATAAAACCAAATATTAATTTGAGAGCAAATAACCACTTTGATTAGAAATCATAATGGTCTGTTACTTGAGTAGGTACAGATAAAAATATACTGTACAGTAAAACAAAGTTATTAAAAAACTATTAAAACAAAGTTACTAAAAACTATTAAAAAAAAAAAGTACCTTAATTTGACAACCTCACAAATCAACACATTTCACTTAACAGTAACTCAGGCAATGGAAGGGAAATTCATTTTTGCTTGTAGCATCCACTAAACTCAATTTCAGTTCTCTTCCTGTCACAAAGTAAACTTTCCATTCTTTTGGTGTAAAAGTAAAGTAATTATTTGTGTTAAAATAGCTCAATTTTCAGGGACTGATTTAAACAGAGCAAAGGTTAAATGCATCAGAAGACATTTTCTGAATAAAGGGACCTTCCTTGGGTGAACTAATTACTGAGATGATCAATCCCATTCTAGAAGAATAAGCAACTCAATTCTTATTTCTGAAAGGTTACCAATACTTGGTATATCCTGCAAGGTCTACCATCTTAAGAGATTGGTCATTTCCACAAAGGTAAACTTAAGAGGCTATTTACAGAAGCATTATATTTGAATGTAATATAATAATCTTTAATATTTAATTTTTAAAAATTAAAAACCAGTAATAAGTAGAATACAGCAGTTTTTAGGACTTAAATCACATATCATTTTTCAAAAATTTGACTATAGCTGGGTGCTGGTGGCTCATGCCTGTAATCCTAGCTACTCAGGAGATGGAGATCAGGAGGATCTTGGTTCAAAGACAGCCCAGGCAAATAGTTCAAGAAACCCTATCTTGAAAAACCCTTCACAAAAATAGGGATGGTGGAGTGGCTCAAGGGAAGACCCTGAGTTCAAGCCCCAGTACTAAAAAAAAAAAAAAAAAGACTGTAAGCTCAGAAATTCTTGAGATCATTAAGTTTACATTAAAGAACATTTTAACCATGCCAAAGAAATGATAGTTTATATGACTCATAAGGACATCATAATTTAATGAATTAAAACACACTGTTCTGGAATGAAAACCAAAATGTAAAAGTATTAACCTAAACAAATGCAACATAATGTGGTTATTAAAGATGCTAGCTGAAGATGGATATTAAAAACTCAACAAAAGGTATAAGTAGTTCTGGTTTGCATATAAAGAAAATCCTAATAATAAGGAAAATAAATTAGAAAAGAAACAAGATAAAATTTTGCAGATTACTGCAGAAAAGATTAAAAATTTGAGTGAACTATTTTTTGTGGATCAAATCCTTGGTTATAGAAAAGACTTTAAGACAGCTAAATAGACTCAAAAGTACATAATCTGTTGAACAAATTTATAAAGATTTTCCAAAATATCAATGACTACTTCAATGGAAGCATGATGCTTTAAAAGGATATTTTAGAAGAAATTTCTGTGCTAAGAGACATACTTGTATAAATAGCCTTAAGGTCACTTTTTATTTATTTAAAAATTTTTTAGTTCATTTATTCACATGTGCATATATAGTTTGGGCCATTTCTCCCCCCCATCTCCCCCCTCCCTCTCTGCCTCATCCCCCCTCACTTCCAGGCAGAACCTATTCTACACTTATCTCTAATTTTCTTGAAGAGAAAACATAAGCAATAAGAAAGACAAACCATTTTTGCTAGTTGAGATAAGGATAGCTATACAGAGAGATTCCTAGCATTGTATCCACGTACAAATGTGTTACATCCCAAGTTGATTCATCTTTAACTGACCTTTTCACTAGTTCCTGATCCCCTTCTCATATTGACCTCTGTCACTTTAAGGTTTCTGTATTAGTTCCTCTGCAGTGGGGACATCAAATACTTTCAGGTGTTGGGTTTCTTACCTATCCCCATACCTCCCGTATGTGCTCTACCCTTATTATGTGACCCAAGTCCAACCACACTGCTGTATTTGCCCTAGATCTAAAGGCTGCATATGAGGGAGAACATATGATTTCTGGTCTTCTGAGCCTGGCTAATCTTGCTCAGAATGATGTTCTCCAGTTCCATCCATTTACTTGTGAATGATAAGATTTCATTCTTCTTCATGGCTGAGTAAAATTCCATTGTGTATAAATACCACATTTTCTTAATCCATTCGTCAGTAGTGGGGCATCCTGGCTGTTTCCATAAAGTGGCTATTGTGAATAGCACTGCAATAAACATGGGTGTGCAGGTGCCTCTGGAGTAACCTGTGTCACAGTCTTTTGGGTATATCCCCAGGAGTGGGATTGCCGGATCATATGGTAGATCTATGTTTAGATTGTTAAGAAGCCTCCAAATTTTTTTCCAGAGTGGTTGTACTAGCTTACATTCCCACCAGCAATGTACGAGGGTTCCTTTTTCCCCACATCCTCGCCAACACCTGTTGTTAGTGGTGTTTTTGATGATGGCTATTCTAACAGGGGTGAGGTAGAATCTTAATGTGGTTTTGATTTGCATCTCCTTTATGGCTAGAGATGGTAAGCATTTTTTCATGTGTTTTTGGCCATTTGAATTTCTTCTTTTGAGAAAGTTCTGTTTAGTTCACTTGCCCATTTCTTTATTGGTTCATTGATTTGGGGAGAGTTTAGTTTTTTGAGTTCCCTCTATATTCTGGTTATCAGTCCTTTGTCTGATGTGTAGCTGGCAAATATTTTCTCCCACTTAAGGTCTCTTTTTAAAACACATCAACATTTCAAAAATAGGGAAATAGTTCATGTACCATAAAACCAATATATTAAACTGTACAGTGTACTGTTGTTTTGGCACATTCACAAGGTTGTGCAATTCCAAAGCATTTTCTTCACTCCCCCCCCCGACAAAAAAAACTGCATACTCGGTCTCTGTTGTCTTTTTCCCCAACTCCTGAAAACCACAAGCCCACCTTTTTTTTTTTTTTTTTTTTGGTGTTATCTGGGGTTGAATTCAGGGCCTTGCACTTGCCAGGCAGGTGCTTTACCACCTGAGCCACACCCCCAGCCTTTTCTGCCTTAGTTATTTTTCAGGTATGATCTCCTGTTTTTGAGTGGGAGCAGGCCTCTGATTGTGATCCTTCTACCAAGGTCTCCTGTGTAGCTGGGATCACGTGTACGACAGCATGTTCAGCTTGTTTGTAGAGATGAGGGTCTTGGTTTTTACCTGGGTTGGCTTCAGATCACAATCCTCCTAGCTCCACCTCTTCCTAAATTGTAGCTGGATTACAGGCAAGTGCCGGCCATGAGCAGCTTGGTTTTTCATAGGCTCTTACTAATTTTGATCTCAAACTGTGATCCTTCCATCTCTACCTAGCTGAGATTACAGACATGCACCAACACTCCTGGTATGTTTGCTTATTCTGTACATTTCAAATAAATTGTTTCATTTCCTTCCCCCTCCCCTTCCCCCGCTTCTTCTAGTTTTAAAGGCATTTCAAAGGAAACAAGGATAGATTTTCCTACAAATATTGGAACAACTGGATTTCCATATGCAAAAAAAGATTAAATCTTGGTCCATGGCTAGAACTGCACACAAAAATTAGTAATTCTTTAAATGTTTGGCAGAATACACCAATAAAGCTATCTGGTCTAGGGCTTTTCTGCTATGTGAAGTTTTTGATTACTAATTCTTTCTTCACTTACTTTTTATAGGTTTATTTATATTTTTATTTTCTTAAGTCAGTTTCAATAGTTTGTCCTTCTAGAAATTTACTGTTATATGTCAAACTAGATTGTATGCACATAAATATGTAACAACACACACACTATAAATGCTCTCTGCCTTTAGCAACAATTTTTGTCTTAAAGAACAATTATGGTAATCAGTGACTCTAGGTCTCTTTTAGTTACTATTTGTTTGCATAAAATATCTCTTCCAACCTTTTACCTTAAATCCATTTGTGCCTCTGAATCTACAATGTCTGTTGTAAATTAGCAAGAGTTGTATTTTGATATTTAATCTATTTTATCTATCTTTGCCTTTTAACTAAAGTGCTTAATCCATTTTCATTTAATGTAATTACTGACAGATTTATGCCACTAATTTTTTTTTTTTTGAGAGAGTATCTCACTATGTAGCCCAGGCTGGTCTGGAACTTGATATATATAGCCCAAGTTGTCTCAAACTCATAATCCTCTTGCCTCAGCCTCCCCAGTAATGGGATTATAGGCATGTAACACCATATCCAGCTCTTGTCATTTTATTTATTTATTTGGGCAGAATACTGCCAAATTCAGGACCTCTTGAGCCATACCCCCAGCACGTTTTGCTTTTAGTTTATTTTTCAGATAGGATCTCATGCTTTAACCTGGGTCAGCTTTGGACTGTGATCTGGCTACTGCTACCTCTGAAGTAACTGGGATTACAGACACATACTACCATGCCCAGCTTGTGTTTTGAGATAGGGTCTAACTTTTTTTTTTTTTGTCCAGGCTGGCCTCAACTGCTATCCACCCATCTCTGATTCCCGAGTAGCTGGGATTACAGGTGTGAAACACCATATCTGACTTCCATCATTTCTTTTTAACATGCATTTTGAGTCATTTTCTTAGTGGTTCCCCTGAATAATTAATATCTTACAATGATCCTTTTTTATTAATACTGACTTAATTCCAATAGCATACAAAACCTGTATTACTATATAACTTTCTTTTACTCCCTTTGTGAGACTGTCATGTAAATTTCATCTTTATACAATGTGTACCCATCAATACAGAAGGGTAATTATTGTTTTATTCAGCTATCTTTTAAATCAGATTGGAGGAAAAAAGAAGTTACAAATAAAAACAGACTTGCTGTTCTGGTTTTGTGTTGTTTTGTTTTCTAGTGTTGGGGCTTGAACCTACAACTTTCTGCATGGTAGGCAAGAGCTCTGTCCCTGAGCCCCATTTCCAGCCCATTTAGGATATTTCATATTTACCAATGTAGTTATCTTTACTGATGGTCTATTTCTTCATGGGCATTTGTGTTACTCTCTAGTGTCCTTTCATTTTGGCCTGAAGATTCCCTGTATTATTTCT